CCGCGGTCGATGGAACCTCACCAGGAGAGCACGATACACGGGTGATGGAATAATACGACTGCGTGAATGCGCCAAACCACGGAATAGCACTCTTCGGTCAGAGTACCAGCGATGGGAGGCCAACAGCCACGAAAGAGGCCGTACTAACAAGTATGATCCCAAAAGAGAGGTCGTATAACCAATAAGCAGCGTGGGTCACCGGTGGGCAGGTAGCCACGAAGCCAGAAAGATCACGGAAGAGCGCCGGTCACTGTCGAACATGACATCCAACCTGTAGTACGGGGTAACGGAAGCGTACCAAACAACGATATTATACGGGTCCGCATGAGACTGCGGAATGGTAAATAGTTAAGTACACGAAGCCAAGATCTACTGGGGTGAACGACGCTAACAAAGTACGCGACACCAAGAAGCATTTAAATCTGCGGCCACCGCATCTCCAACAAACCATGCCACTCCGCCGCGTAGCGGCGGCGAACGGCTAGTCTTAAACATCTACTGCAGCAACCTGTCTGTCCGTCACACTAAATTGTCGTGCCTGTCACGCTTTTCCGAACAAATCATTGGATAAAATGATTTAAATATTTCTACTGGTTGCCGAGCGCAGCGAAGGTGGCTTTAATTGGCTAAAACTAGATTGTGTTGTTGCATCAATAAATTCATGTGTTTCCCAGTTTACATATGGGGATTTGCACAAGGCTGTACATTATCCAAAGGCATCGTTTAAATATTATATAACTTTTTTTATAATGCATGTTGCTATTGATATTTGAGTACTAAACGGAGGGCAGGGTGCCTATCGTACACGTTAGCATGCGTGTTTCCGAGGACATGGTTTAAGTATACTAAATTCTCTGTACTCAGTAGGATCTGCGTGTTACACTGACTAAAATGATAACTTCAATTTTTTTACTGTAAAAATATTAGCATTAATAAGTTATCTGAGTGGGTTTCTGGTATTGCTCAATCGTATTTGTTACATGTACAGCAGTAGCCGGTCGTGTGGACTGGTCGTAAGAACAAAGCTGTGCTTATAAACGTTGTCACTTGATTCACAAAGATAGAAAGTTTTAGATTGACGTGTAAACAAAAGAAGTTATATGTGATGATGACAATTACTACTGTGAGCGAATTGAACTTGACCATTGTTTTCTAAGCGGGTTTTTAGACAACAACATTCTGATACTTATTAATAGGTAGACGCGCAGCGGTAAGATAACAGCACAACATGAGAGGTGTCAATTATGGTTACTATAAGTAGGCCCGTAAAGAAACGTTTATCAACTTAACCCTTTCGTTTCCATAAAAATACATAGAGTATGATTTAGCAAAAGTGGGTGGGTCTCTTAAATTATCCGTCCTGGTTTTGTCAAATAGACTAATCGTTTATTGTATTAAATAACGTATTACACCGTATTTTGATATATGAAATTCTCTGAGACGGTGGCAACCCAACTGTCGCAAGCACCAATATCTACCACTTAGAACGCAAGCGTAGTCTAAATTTCACCTCAAATTTTATTGTGTCTCTTACGTTACGGTGTTGTGTGGCACACCGAAGAATGCACTCGAAGCCCTCGACGAGGGGGGAGGGATACATACTAGCGGAAGCGCTCTATAGTGATTTCAGCAAAGAAAATCATTTGTTGGCGTCTAACATCTAAAAGATAGGGTAAAGATTCCCCGAGGCTGCCCTCATTACGGAACCGAGACCGAGACGTCGATGGATGGAATCACTGACTGAGGATACCGACATACGGGTCGACGATCACGTAGCGGTGGCACGTGCACCCGCGGATAGGGCGAGTACTGCGATTCAGGCGATGAATACGAGTGCGTTGTCGGTTCCGGAGGGGCAGCAACAGACGAACGAGGTGCTTTTTGTCCATGACCCGCCGGAGATGACGACCGTCAACACCACCGTCGTCGACAGCAAGCTGGGACTCACGATAACAACAATCGACGGCCACACCACACGACGGAGGTGGCCATGGCGCCAACCTTGGACGGCAAGACGGATCTAGAGGCGTACGGCATTTAAATCTATGTGACGACGACATAAGATGCTAATGTCACAGTAAAATCAAGAAGAACAAGATCAAAGTCGATGGAAGCGTCGTGCAATGTGTGAATATACTGCGTATGGCAGTAAATGCAGGAATCCAACCCAAACGGAAGATTACTGCGAAAAGCACAACGTTACTTTGTGCGAAAGCACCTACCCACTCGATAAATCCAAGCCACATCTTTGTCAAGAAGCGTCATGGTCATGCTGGCAGAAGTACCATGGATATTATCTGCCTAATCTGGTCTACAATCTCGAAGGTCATCTCATGCGAAGCTCTTCGATATACAAAATGCAGGCACCTTTCCTCCGATCAAAGGCAAGCAAGAGGACTACGCGTTAGGCTCACGTGGCTCACGTGACCGCTGGTCACTAGTTCCGGTGTCGCATCGGTACAGCAATTTGATTATATGAAAAAAATTGAGAAGTGGATTTATAGATACTTGGTTGGTGCAGATTTTTGTAAGCAAAACTACCCACACTACACTGCAAGCTTGAGGACAAACCACGCTTCGGTAGCTCTCAACGTGAAGATATTATTGCGTCAGATGTCCATATGGCCGGTTGCGAGTCATCGTGAACTGCATTTTCTCCCAGACCATCGGCGAGGTGCAAGTGGCTGCTGGTGGGACGAATTTGCATTAGTCAAGGTGGCCAACGACTAGCAAAGAGGCTACATCCTCTCGCACTGTTCCGTGCCTGCCGACAAGATGAATTGGCGTTTGACGAGCAGCGTGTGTAGCAATCGCTGCAGGTCCAACACAATGGACATCAGTCGGAAATTCGCAGTCTAATCACCAGCCACACCGTGTACAAACCGTCGTAGTAGCTACCGCGCATGATTGTTGTTGCCGCTGACGCTTCGTGTTCACATCGGTTAGGGAATGCAGCGGCCAGTGTAGCAACGGTATCGCTCCAAACGGGCAGCATGTATGACTGACGTTCGGCGCCCATGTAGCGTTAGCATCGTACAGCGTGCGGACCGGCGTGGCGACAGCGACTTGTCGGCGTTAGCATCTTATGTGTGGACCAGCGTGACGACAGCATGGGAATCGAGCAGCATTTCCACCAGAGATTTCGGTGGTGTCAGGCAGCGTGCAATGGTAGTGACATCGGTCAGTGTCAGGCGGCGGGTGGGTTAGCAGAGATGGGTGGGGGCAGTCGGTATGAACCCGAGTGTTCACAAGAAAGGAAATTGCGGAATGAGACTCGTTGGGGCTTGGCGCGCGCTCGACGCCCCCGCACGCGAGTTTGAATCGTTGACCCTCCAAAACGGCTTGTTTCGCGCCAAAACATTGCGAGCTTCAATGTTGAAGTCACGTTTTCGCCGGTGTCCTCGGTTTGACCAATCAAATAGCATTCCGATGATTCTAGCAGTCTGATTGGCTAGCAAAGTGGTCTTTAATATACGCGTATGGCTACCTATTTCGATTATGGGTAGTACCTATTTTTGCTAAGAGGACCAATTACCTTGCAGTAGTTATACCCGACAGCGTATGCTCCTTTGTCGGGTCCGTTTTGACGTAGAAAAGCGTACCTGAGGAAATGTAAGCCAGTAGTTATGTGGCTATGCGCTTCAAGACCACATCCTCAAAAAAGGTAATCCTAACTTTGATCCTGGAGGTAGTAGTTAGATCTCTACCACAGCATGTCGTTCGCCAATTTGTGTAGTATTATGCTCTGGGTTTTACAATGACATCTCCAGTTATCTTTTTAGGTACGTTTTGGTTGGAATTGGCTATTGCTATTTTTCGTACAATGATCTTTCGAACGGTCTGATTGGTCGGAATCACGTTCGGCACTGTTTAATTTCCAAAAAAAATGCGTTATGCAGAGTATCGTGAACGCATAAAAAGACGCCAAGGACAGTAAACAACGCCACGTGGTGCAGGCATCATCAGCTACAAGACACAAGCGTTTGCTGGTGGCGCAGCAACACACATGGTGCGCCGTTGTCGTCATCATGACGTCCCCCTTGGTGTCGATCATCAACCTGTCGATGACCGCCATCTCGGGGCCGGACTGGGCAAGGAATACGAGTGTGGCGGCGGCTCCTCTGATATCGCCGCCACACTCGTATTCTTCGCCCAGTTCGAAATCATCGCCTCTTCCACGATGCGTGCACCGCTATGTGGTCGCCGAGGCGTACGTCGGTAGTCGTTGTAGGAGGCAAGTGTGCGACCCGATTTTGGAAGGCAGGCCCTCACATTCGTAGTGCTGAGCGTTGATTCCTCAGTTGCAGAAGTCAAGTAGCAAGTAGGTACCCTGTATGGCGAAGTGGAAATGCACCGGCGTTGTGGGAACAATCTGAGTAGAGCGGTGATCTGTGTGGTGCTGTGTTACCACGCGCTCTGGTATAGTAAATATCGTTTTGAGTGTTGAAACTATTGTCCTGTGTGCTGCTCTGGATCGATCATACGACAATTTGACTATCATACTCTGCCCTCATGTCACTGTATATGAACCAAATTGTTTATTTTTATTATTATTCGAGCCACAGCTCGTACAGGTTGCCTTTGCCTCATTCAGTTTAGGTATTTACGCAAATAATACCGTTCTTCCTCATCCCATTTCTCTAGTTAATGGTAGGGTTCGCTTGGAGGTAGCACATCATATGTCAAAACGACAGATTGCTCTTGCTCCCACAATGGCGATCGATAGTAGGCACACTTGCTGCACGTGCATGGCTCTCGTATATCCATATATTCGAACTGATCCGCGAGAATGTCAATTTCGCTCATCGCAATCCATAAGTTATTAACTTTGCTGAATGCGTTCTCCAAGATTTTACCTTCATTCCAAGCTTGAGCTCTCTGTTCGGTGCTCCGAACGTCTGCCATCTGGATGTCGACTTCAATTTTGACATCAAGCATCTCTGCTTTTTCGACAAGAAATGTTTTCAGATATTGCAGTCGGTCACGTATCATTTCGGTAGTTATCTAAACGTTGTAGTAACGAAAAGGTGTTAGTACCATCATAACATATACGAATTTAAGACTGGTCTTTCGTACCTCTGAAAGCTCCATACACAGCTGCAGCCAGCGTACCATCCACACAAAGTGATGTCTGTAGTAGCCGCTGTATGGATCCTTGGAATGGTCGACATTCATAACGTACATTTCCTTTACCGGCAACATCTCAATAAAGTCATCAACGTCTTTGGTTGAGTGGAATACATTCTCAAAAACCTGCAATTAAAAAAAACGTTTGCATGTTAGCAGTTGTATCCATGACACCCTCAGTTTGAATGTTGACGCAGTACTCGATCTTTTGCTGGTATAAACACGGGAAGCAACGAGTCAAAGTTGAGTCTGCGGTGGCAGCTGAAATGAACAAGCGCGTCTTTTATAACGATCGGTTTGTAAATCTGCTCTCCATTGGACGCTGCAACTCCTGCAGTGAAAGGTAGCTGCAAGACGTGTATGTCAGTAAGAAAACTAGATTCGCTATTAGCACCACACTAGTTACCTCTGCCTTGTCGAGGCGCCAATCCATTCAGTGAATTCCAAGTTGCTAGTGCCAAGTAGATAGCTGTTTTGGAAATGAAAAATGCCAGAATGAGAGAACATCATCACCTGAGTCTCCTAACCGCAAGTTGCAGTTCAGAGACACTTCGTGGTGCAGTCTGCAGCAAGGAAGGAAGTTCGTATCAAGTAGCTTCTTTACGTTGCAGTTGGAACCAGCAAATACTAAGAGTAGTACAATCGTACCTGCCTAGTATTAGATATGCAGGTACACCACTGCAAGTGGTATGGATTCGAAAAAGTGTGTGTTTGGTGAGAATCTAGAAAACAAACAAACTTGGAGCTGTACTTATCGAAAGGTCGCTCAAAACAATCTAGAAGAGTATGACGTGAAAGAGCGAGCTAGTAAGTTAAAAATGAAGTTCATCTAGAATCAGCATGTAATGGCCGGTAACCCTCATCTTGAACATCTTTGCGTGGATCAAACAGACTACGTCAAGAATGTTGGCAACTGCGTGCAGTGGCAATGAACGTTTAAGCTTCAATGATGCAGCTGTCACCACTTCCACGCGCGGGGAGAGGGAGCAGAACCAAAGGCAGCGTTCACGACCGACATGTAGTAGCAGTGACAATACGGTCACTAGCAGCCGCGTCGCGATGGATTCCACGCAACAGTTGTAGCAGCTGTTGAGTCGGAGATAGCGGCGTCGTCGTCATGTCTCCCAGTTTGCTGTCGATCACCAAGCTGTCGATGGCTGTCGTCTCCGGCCCTTTGGTAGCAAGCACCTCGTTGCTGTGTCTCCTCCGATATCGTCGCCACACTCGTTTTCATCGCACTGGTAGCAGTACTCGCCTCCTCCGCATATGCACGCACCACCACTACGTGATCGTTTACCAGTAAACTAGCAAATCATCGCACAAGATTGCTGTTGCCGTAGCCGTTTCGCGTTCACATCGGTTACGGAATGCAGCGACCAGTGTAGCAACGGTATCGCTCCAAACGGGCAGCATGTATGACTGACGTTCGGTGCCCATGTAGCGTTAGCATCGTACAGCGTGCGGACCGGCGTGGCGACAGCGACTTGTCGGCGTTAGCATCTTATGTGTGGACCAGCGTGACGACAGCATGGGAATCGAGCAGCATTTCCACCAGAGATTTCGGTGGTGTCAGGCAGCGTGCAATGGTAGTGACATCGGTCAGTGTCAGGCGGCGGGTGGGTTAGCAGAGATGGGTGGGGGCAGTCGGTATGAACCCGAGTGTTCACAAGAAAGGAAATTGCGGAATGAGACTCGTTGGGGCTTGGCGCGCGCTCGACGCCCCCGCACGCGAGTTTGAATCGTTGACCCTCCAAAGCGGCTTGTTTCGCGCCAAAACATTGCGAGCTTCAATGTTGAAGTCACGTTTTCGCCGGTGTCCTCGGTTTGACCAATCAAATAGCATTCCGATGATTCCAGCAGTCTGATTGGCTAGCAAAGTGATCTTTAATATACGCGTATGGCTACCTATTTCGATTATGGGTAGTACCTATTTTTGCTATGAGGACCAATTACCTTGCAGTAGTTATACCCGACAGCGTATGCTCCTTTGTCGGGTCCGTTTTGACGTAGAAAAGCGTACCTGAGGAAATGTAAGCCAGTAGTTCTGTGGCTGTGCGCTTCAAGACCACATCCTCAAAAAAGGTAATCCTAACTTTGATCCTGGAGGTAGTAGTTAGATCTCTACCACAGCATGTCGTTCGCCAATTTGTGTAGTATTATGCTCTGGGTTTTACAATGACATCAGAAATAGTTTTTAGGCATCGTTTGCTACAATTGCTCATTATGTACTTTGGTTTAATTGCTAAATGGTTAAACTTGTTTTTATCCATTATTTCTCGTCGTCATGTGTTTTATAGCCAGGAGTTCTCGAAAACTACAATAATGCAAACGTTGATTTTG